TCTTGATCGCTATCGGTTTCATGAACAATTGGCATATAATTGTTTTCATAAATATTAACAACAGTTTCTTTAATGCCATTAATAAAATTAGCATCCCAATTCTTTTTTTGTAATAATTCAGTTTTAACCATGGATCAAGCACCATCGTGACAGAATATATAGCACTATAATTTGTTTTTTCATAATATTCTTTTAAATTTTTTAAGCCCGCATTTATCGCAATAATTACTTCACTTGAATTGTTTGAATTATTACAATGTATTTCAAGTTCATTGATTAAATAATTATAGATTGGATTGTAGAAGCAAGTAATGGATATTTTGCAGAAGAAACTAGCTTAGTTGTTCGTGCAAATATCTTTAAAATCATTACGATTTCTTTAATTTTACTCCATTCGTTATCATTAAGTTCAAACATTTTAAGTTCTTTATTTAAACTTGTAATTGCATCCAATGCTTCACGCATCTCTAATGCTCGTGCAAGCATATCATGTGTAGAGTTCTATCTCATTCTGATGTCTAAGATAAGATTACTATCTTTAAGCCCAGCAGCTTTTGCTTGATATGCAAATCGTTCTCGACGTTGTGGAGAAGATCTAATATTAACAATGAGCTTTCTAAGTTTTGGAATAATTTCTCCAGTATTCAATGATGTGTTTATATTATTCAGAATATTATTCTCGATTTGTGCTTTGCCAGCCTTGAGATTTTTTAAAATATCTTGCACACCTATATTTATAATATGAGCGATACATATTTATATCTTTGCATGTATTCTCCAAACATCTCATGAAAGTATCATTGTTTGTGGCATTGTCACTAGTAATGGCAAACATCTTCGTTAAGATTCCCAACTCACGGCAACATCTAACAAATGCATTGCATAGGTTCTCTCCAGAATGGGGACCCATAAGATCAATAAAATCAATCAAAATATTTTTGAGTTCCCAATTGTTAGTGATCCAGTGTGCTGTAATTGCTAGAAATGAATATGCATTTGGCAATGTCCATACATCTATCGCAAATGAAATTTTTCCAGGAATATTTTGAAATAAGATTATGAGTTTTCTACGTTCCTCTTCAAAGCTTTTAATTATATCGTTTCTTATTGTATCCTCTCTAGGAACTAAAGCATGTAGATTTAACAATTTTACTAAGCGATGAAAATGTATATTTTCTAAAGTCGTAAATAGTTGACTATCAGAAATCACCCATTGTGCAAGAAATTTACGAAAGGTTGCTTGTGAGAATTCAGGCAAAGAGTTACTTTGATTCATAAATTCTTCTAATATATCTTGTCGTCGTAAATCTTTATCAGGATAATGACTTTCAAGATACCGCCACAAATTTGATGTATTAAAATCTCCAATTTTTCGAAGCCAGGTTTTTTCTCCATTTAGACAAGTAAGACATATTACTTCTCGATGGGTTTTTGCATTAGGATGCTCAGGAGGAAGATCTGTTTCTGAAAAGAGATGCTCAGAAAATAGCTTACTACGAACTTTTCGTTTTTTAGAGAATGACGAGCTACTGGATGTGCTGGATATTAATGGTTGGAGATCGGTTTCGGTAGAAGTAAGGTCAA